TGTGTTGGACAGTCGCAAAGCACATCAATTGATTCGTTGCGAGCAACTTGTTAACATTCAAATGAAACTATCTATCAAGGCGGCGGATGTTGCGAATCGAACCAGCGACCTGCCTCTAAATACGCTTCTTGAAACCAGGTTTCGGCTCTGTTTGGTTTTTAGAACTTGAATGAAATAGTTTAATTTTGACTCAACAGCTGCCCGTTGTACTTTGAAAATATTGAAAGCCATAAATATATTCCTGTACAAGTTACGGGCTAGATTTCATCTTTAAGATTTGTTGCTTAGACTAATAATTGTTCAATAAATTATGGTTCGCTTCGGGTTTCCTTCGCTTTGGCTTGGTTTGAGGTTCGGTTCAACGAAAAGAACAAATTTTAATTCCGGATTTGAACTGGTTCGGAGGAAAGCCGGCTTGCAGCCTTGATATATTAGCATCTATATTATTTATTTCGAGTCTCACACCTCGCGGGCGCTTTAAATGGCAGCTTGTAAATTTTATTGCATACTCTTCAGCGTCATGTCTTTCGTTTTTATTTGTATTTCTGTTTTATAGTTCTATCTGGCCTTTTGTCTCGCTCTTTATGTGCCTGTTATTTACGACATTTAGGCAAAAGTTGCAAGGTGCAAGTTTTGTGTATGGAATTTTTATGACTGCACAGGCAGCGATCTAAAGGCTCTCGAGAGCTATGCCCATTATATAATATACTTCAGCTAAAAAAATAAACAGAGTAAAGAAAAACTGGCTGGCAGAAATGTGAGAAATACATGTCTACAAGCTGCCCGGCTTATCTAGTTCTTCATAATCAAATGGCCGTCGTGAACTCTGTTAGGTTTCAGTTCCTTCGACTGCCCTCGGCTACAAATTCTTTGTTCTCGATGAGCGTATGTTTGGTAAGCTATAAAATTTGCTAATAATATCTTTTGTTTATGCATATTAACCCTCGTTATGTGCAGATCTTTAAATCTTTTAGCTGCCATTTTAGCATTTTAGCCAACTTAATTCAGTTCTTATGATAATCAATTGGTAGATGATATCATGTAAAATCCTCATAATGAGCTGCAGTCGCTATTAATTTCAAACTGTTTATAGGAAAAGCTTACTATATTATGTTAAATTATTTATATTATAGTATTATGTGAATGTTTTAAGTAAGTTGCGACAGATTGGACTAGTTCTAAGTGCTGCAGTCTTTGGGGAAACTGATCAAGGTTCGAATCGGAGGATTCCTTGTGTGTTGCGATGTCTATTAAGGGTTAAGGTACTATATAAAAGTAATATTTTGGTTTTTTTTTATAATAAAATATTAATAATTTATAACCAATCAATTTAAGTTATCAGCAAATGTTTCTAGCCTGAGGTTCGAGCATGCAACCAATAAACCAAAAGAACTAAGTAGATCGCATAGCTCATCTAATGATAGTAGCGTGTTTGCCAAATTTGGTTTTAGTGAATCGTATAGTACAAATATTAATAAAAAGCTGCTTAAAGATACCGCCCTTTTTTATCAGCTGTATAGAATCCCTTTCCGTAGCTTTAACTTGTTGCGAATTGCAAGCGTAACGCAAACAAAGACAACTCAAATCAACTGTGAACTGTAAACTTTATAAACTAAACTGATAAAAATCCCAATATAGAACTCTTAACAAAATGATAATATTTACGTGAAGTCCTTATTGGCAATGGCATTGGCTTATTGAAATTCAAAGCTGGGCCACAGATTTATGCAGCTCACAGTGAAAACCTCAGCATGCATGAAGTAAATTACAGTCAAATGACATTCCAGCCAAATGCCACTTCGCTCTGACAGCAGACATATTTTGCAAAAGTGGGCATAGACATGACAACAACAACAACAACAAAAACAACAGGAGGAACAGCAACAACAACAATAACAGGAGGAACAACAACATTGACAACAACAGCAACACGACAATAACTGCATCCATGAAGTACACACCGCCAGTCAAGTCAAAGTCTGGCCTTGGCTGCATGTGTGTGTGCCTGTGTGTGTCATAACGGGCGTCGGGAAAACAAATTGCCCAAAAAACACCCCGAGCTCGAGTCTGGCAGCTTCTGGGGTTTTTTGGTTTTTGGGTTCCTGGTCGCTCGCTCGAGCAATGTGAAAAGTTAAACGAAAGTGACAAGCGGGCAGGCAGGCAGGCAGGCAGGCGGGCAGGAGGGCAGGCAGTCAACGCGCAGGCTCGTTGTGGCCAGGAGCCGTGGGCCCCGGGGGCAGCTAGGGGAGGGCGCGATTAAACGTGTCACACGGGCGACGCGGTTGAAAAGTTAAATGGCAGCGGCAGCAAAATGAGCAGCAGCCACCATGTTAGCATGTAGTTATAGCTACACACACACACACACACACACAGGCACACTCAGGCACACTCAGGCAGTTGTGTATCTGTGAGATACACAGGCGCAGCTACATGTTGCTCATGCCCGTGTGTGTGTGTGTGTTTCTTGTTGTTGATGGTGGCCATATTGGCATTTTTGGCTATTTAATTTTCCATAACGTGGGCATATTTCCCAGGCACAAATCTACCCAAGCGGCAGAGGTATCTCATAGGTTGCCAGCTTATAAGTAGCTACAAATTGTCATGAATAACTTTTTTGGTTTGTTTTCGTTTTTCGGTTGTTGTTGTAGTTGTTGTTGTTTGGCTGGCGTTTTTCCTTAACTGCGTCACATGCGCTTAGTTTCAGCGACTTGATGCCATACTTTATTGTTTTATTAATTGGTTTAGTTGCTGTCGAGCGACGCACTTTGATCTTGTGCCGCCTCCTGCGGCCTAGTCACGGCCGACTTATTGTTTATATATTTATATATTTTGTATTATTTGTATTTGTATTTGCTGTTGTTATTGTTGTTAATGTCTCGCGCCTATTTGTATTTATTTTGTGTATTTTGTCATTGGCAACTTTTTGTCGGCGGCCGCTTTTAACTGAAAATTTGTCAGCCAAAGTTTAATAACAAGCTGCCAGACGTTGCCTTTGCCGCTGCCGCTGCTGCAAAAAAAACGCTCAACAATCAGTTGTAGCAACAATTGTTGCTCTAACAACAACAACAACAACAACAACAATAGCAACAACAACTCATCGCCAACGCCAGCAATTAATTTGTAAAAAGCGGTAAATTTATTTTCACTGCCGCTTTTTGCCGCTTTGATTAATGGAAAAACAATTTTGAAGTCGCGGTTTGCTTTTTTTCCCCGTTGACAATCTATTTTTTTTTTTTTTTTGTTTTTGTATTTTTTAATGAATTTGTGAATATGCAAAACGCTGGCCATTAATTAAATGCCTTTAAGTCAAACACTGCGTATTTTATGCTATATATAAAATTGCTCAGCAAAAACAAGAGAAATTAAAACGTTTTAAAGTAGACAAAAGACGAAAATTAATCGAAATTTAATTGCATTTGAAGTTTGAAACTTTGTCAAGAACTAAGGCATAAGACGATTTAATTAAGTATAAACAATAAAGAGAAGTTGGCAATTGTCTCAAAATTACGTTCCACGAAGATTATATAAAAACAAAACTATTTACTCGACTTCACTAATTTGGTTATTTTTGTTAAATAAATATAGTCGAAATTCGTTTTGGTTTATAAAAACAACTTTTTTATTTGTAATATATTTATTCTCAATATACGCTCTATATTCTATACTCTCTAATCTATAATTTGCTCAAAGTATTTTAAATTTATACCCATTTAGCTTTAAAAATCAGCTTTACAATTATTTATTATATATTATTCAGCTTATCTTAATTCCATGTTTATTTTGTGTTTATACAGTAAACGTGGCTAATATATTATTAAAGGGGAATGTTATTTAGGAATAATATATGAAATTTAGCATAACATATATAGAATTCCTTAAAATATTTTAAATTTCGATCAAGCTTTGCATGAAGCAGCTTAAATATTGCCCCACATAACAATTAAGCGCGCCCAGCAGTAAATTAAATTAAAATGTGTCGTTGCAGCTGAAATTGTTTGAAATTGACATATTACGCGAACACAGAAAATCCATTTAAAATAAACAATACGGGTAGCCAGATATATTTATATATATATATATATATGAAATGTGATCAAATTTGTTTGAAACACTTTTAAAACGGAGTAACATGCAGTCCAAAATGAATATGTATAAGGGGCACAATTGATGGCTAATAAATTAGATAAATATTGTTTCGTTTTTGGCCAAGTTAGCTGTGTTTTGTTTTTCTCTTAGACTGTGACACAAACTGTGATCGTGACTGCGACTTGGTATGTGAATGTGATTAGTAAAGCAGTTTCAGCTACATTGAAATGATAACAATTAGCATAAGATTTTTAAATTTATGTTACGATCCGAACAAAAACAACAACTGAAACAGAAACAAAAACAAAAGAAACTCGTCTGCGACATTAGACGATGGCGTTTCCTAGTATTATTTGTTATTGATTATTGTTGCTTTTTCGAATTTTAATATACATTAATAAGTTAAATGTTGCAGCCGAGAAATAAAACAGAAGCCGACGGCACATTCGATAGATTTATTGAGCGATTTCAGCTGAAAGCATAACAAAAGATGCCAACCAGCTGCTGCGATAAGAGTTAAGATCAGTGTTCCAAATAAAAAATAAAATAATAATACAACATCGAACCGGTTCGGCATTTCGAGCACACATCAAACGAGCAAATAAATTTGGCTCTTTGAATTTCTTTTCCTTTGTTGGTTGTAGCTGTGAAACAATTTACATTTAAAGCTAGTCAAGCGCCAGAGTGCACTGATCTTTCAATGTTCTTTGAGAAAAGTATGTATAATGTGTGCTAGAAGATAATGCCCGGTTTAAATGAATGCAAGTGACTCAAAGCCGCTTCAGTTGCTTTATTTGAACCGGTGACCTCACGCTGGATAGTTCGACGCTCAGCCTGAACACAATCCTCTATATATATGGATGCCTAAATATTTATCTAATATGTATCTTACTTGTTATTTGCTATTTTTTCAGACTGAGCTGCGTTCCTGCGCAGCGTGCGGCGAACCAATCTCGGATCGATTTTTTCTCGAGGTTGGCGGCTGCTCGTGGCACGCCCATTGCCTCAGATGTTGCATGTGCATGTGCCCGCTGGACCGGCAACAGTCGTGCTTCATCAGGGAACGCCAGGTCTACTGCAAGGCCGATTACAGCAAGTGAGTCGTCATAGCTATATCTATCCATAACTATCTATAACAAATCGAAGAACTTAACGCATATTTTCAACAAATGCCAAAAACAAAACGAAAAATCATCATCAAACCAGATTCGTTGTTCGCATTTTATGCGCATTTTATGGTAAACATTTGGCTTAGCTTCGGCATATATCTATATTCATAGTATAGCCGATATTATAGTCGATTCCCTGCATTAATTTTGGCATTAATTTAATGTTTTATTGGGCACTTTCTCGACAGATATTCCCATGTCGTAATCGATGCGATCATTGTTCGATTTCCAAAGCATTTTCCCCCAAACACTGCTGTGTGTGTGTGTGTGTGTGTGTGCACAAGTGTTTTTCACATATTTTCCCACACGTTTGAGTACATGGGGTACATGATCACAAAGATAAAAGAAGAGTCTGAGGTTAATTGTAACAATTCGACAACGTTGCGACTTAATCCCTAAGATAAACAGACCAGTCGAAAGATGCGGCCAAAACGCTTCGAAAGCGACTTTCAGACAGACTTTAAATGCAAGTTGCAAGCAAAGTATCTTACAGATGCACACAAACACACAAAGATACAGATACACGTACTCGCTGTCGCTTGGTCTGTCTTGGCTGTCCACACAGGCGGAAAACGGTGTCGACGGCCAACGAAATGAAAATAAACAAACAAACGCGCCGTGAGATGCTGTAAAAATATTTATTTTTCAAGTTAAGAATTTTAAGTGTGCATTGGGCGCTGGGCCAACGGGGCTGGGGTGGGGTGGTGTGTTGGTGTTGGTGTTGGCGTTGCCGCTGAAGATGGAGACATCAGAGTCATAGAGCCAGAGGTCCAGTCATCCCAGCCAAACGGCCGTACAATGTTGTGCTTGTAAAAATAAGCTTAAAAGCTAACAATAAGCCGTTGCCAAAGTTGCCAACTCATTTGGAAAAACGCAGGCGCGAGAGAGCGACAACTTCCGCTTAGAAAACGTCCACTGAAAACGCATCCAAAACGCATACAAAACGCAAGTGAAACGCAACTAAAGAGCATGGGACGACATTAAAGTAAAGCAATGCTTAAGCTAAAACAATTAGTTATTTAACATATGTTGCAGAATCGTAGTGCGAAATATTTCATAAACGCAGATTGAATTTAATATCGATTATTAACGCTAGCAAGCCGCCTGTGAAACGCAGGTAAAACGCTTGAAATTTGCCAAACGCGCGGAAACTCCAAGCGAAACGCTAGCAAAGCTGCTTGGCATCAAATTTTGAAGCACAAAATTGTTGAGTATATTTCTTAGGCACAACATATTATTTATGAAATAAAATATGCCTCAGACAACCCCAACAGAAAGGTGCAACAATCGTAAGCAAAACGCTAGCTAAACGCGCCCAATAAATAAAGAAATAATTGTCCTGCTTAAAATACAACTTTACAAACATAAACAACAACTTCCGTTCTCTTTTCATGCAATTTATTTTCTTTATTATTATTGCAGAAATTTCGGCGCCAAGTGCTCGAAATGCTGTCGCGGCATCTCCGCCTCCGACTGGGTGCGACGAGCGCGCGATTTGGTTTTCCATTTGGCGTGCTTTGCCTGCGATCAGTGTGGACGCCAGTTGTCCACCGGCGAACAGTTTGCGCTCATGGATGACCGTGTGCTCTGCAAGGCTCATTATCTTGAAACGGTCGAGGGTGGCACCACATCAAGTGACGGTAAGCGTAACCAAAATCAAATATAATAAAATAGCGTAGAAAATAAAAGGAAGGCAAGGTCGAAGATTGAATACTCTTATGGGTTTGTGGCTTGGCAGATATGTTAGCTGAAGAGTGAAGTCTATAATAGTCTGAGTCTGATGCGAATATGTTAAATGATGGAAAAACTCAAATATTTACTTTTCGGGCTATCTGCGATGTAGAGCTTTGAGGCGGACAGACAGGTGAACAGGTACAGCCCTGTAGTGCTTACACCTGTTGATCCTGAGCATAAATATATATATCTGATATGTCTTTTTCCATGCATTACACTTTGCATGTCCAAATCAGAATACACTATGCAAGTGTATAAAAAACAAAAGCCAAGCCACAAATAAGTACATGATGCATTGGCGACAATAACAACAAAAAGAACAACATGTAGCACGCTTTGGTTGCAGGCGAATCGGTTGGCAATTTGGAACGCTTGGTGGAAACTAAGCGCCAGGTAGTCGCCAAGTCGGTGACCAAGTCAGCTCCTGGGCGAGCTCTTGATGAAATCGTGTCATAACTGAGGCATAAAGAGTCAAAGCCGCGACGCGCCAGACGACGTGATCGGCTTCAGAATGTCGCTGTGCACGTTCTGCTCCTCGTTGTCGTTCTCGTGGTTGTTCTTATTGTCGTTCTTGTTGTTCTCGTTGTTGTTGTTGTCGTTGTTGCCCCTGCGCCGCGGACCACCAAGAAGTGGAGGCCATAAAGCCACACGGCTATAAACTATAAACACTTTTGACATTTTCAATTTGGTGCACTGTCAAAATGCTTTTAGACAGACGCGGCGCGGCTTAGGCACGTACCGAGCCATACTATAGTTGTTCCATAGTAAATCTTCTGCTAGCTAAACGAAATTCCACTTTGATTCGATTTCCATAGATGGCTGTGATGGTGATGGTTATCACAAGAGTAAAACGAAACGTGTGCGCACCACCTTCACCGAGGAGCAATTGCAAGTGCTGCAGGCCAACTTTCAGATTGACAGTAATCCGGATGGCCAGGATTTGGAGCGCATCGCCTCAGTAACTGGTCTGAGCAAGCGTGTGACGCAAGTTTGGTTTCAGAATTCGCGTGCGCGTCAGAAAAAACACATACATGCTGGTAAGAATAAAAGTAAGTAGTGGATTAGTGCAGCATGCCGAACCCAAAGTAGACATAAACAACTAAGTAGCTCTACTAACTAGTTCCTACTTATACATATATATAAATATAGATATACCATATATATAAGGAATATGCCATGCCATGTTGCTAATCAAGTTCTATTCGACAAACGATTTCTGATTGCAGTACGCGAACCGGAAGGAAGCTCATTTGCGCGTCATATTAACCTGCAGTTAACGTACTCGTTTCAGAATAACCCACAGAATCCCATGCATATGAATGGCACCAAAGGGGCTCTATATCCAGCGCATGGTGAGCCGAGCTTTAAAACAAATCACACCAAGTCGCTGGTTCTAATCAATAACTCTCTCTTGCGCGCTCTCTCTCTTTCCCCTCCCTCTCTCTATGTCTCCTTTTAGAATCCTCCATGGATGAATTGTCGCAGGACTCGAGCGTTCACTGTATGCCCAGCGAGGTGTGACTGCAGCAGTCCTCGCCAGCGCGTGCTCATCGCTAGCTTCAATAAAAGAAATATACGAAAAAACTGAACACAATGATCAGTTAAAGCTATGTGCATCAGCTGGCTGTGGGCTGCTTTTAAGCAACAACAACAACAACAAAAACAACAACAACAAAAATAAAACGAAAAAACGTCCTTTCCTAGTCAAAATTTTATGTAAAGCGTCGTAGCAGACAGCAAACGCTCATATGAAATGAAAAACAAAAACAAAAAAAACAAAAAAAAAAAACATAAAACAAAATATTAAAAAAAAAGTCGTTAAAACATTGCGAGTATTTCAACACATCGTCGAGGATCGTCAACAATCCATCAGCTGTTTGATGCTTTGAGCATCCGGAAACGCGCCCCAGTCCACATAGAGTCGGCAAAATCCAATATCTCATCTCAGAATACTACAACACATACATTCCTGCATAGCCTATAAAACATAAAACAAAAAAACCTAAGCATAGTTTAGTTAATTTAATTTAAATGAAATTTAAATTTAATTTAGTTTAATGCCTAATTGTTAAGTGTTTTGCTCTCTAACTATCCAAGCAACTATCCATCTCTCTCTCTTTCCCTCTCTATCTCTCTCTCGCTCTCTTGCTTCCAAACTAACTTTTAGTTGTTAGGGTATACAAAAAAAAAATGCAGCTGCTTGCCAAGGCTTTTGTAAAATATTTATAGTATATATATGCCTATCATGAGAAATGTTGTTATTGTTTATTTTCTTGTTTTTTAAATGTATAAAAAAAGAATACCTATATATAAATATCTATATATAGACATATATGATATACATACATATGTAACTGGCCAGGCATTTTGTACATAGTTGTAATAGCCGAAATTGATAAGCAACGCAGATTGATTAAATGAAAATGAAACTAAACTAAAACATTTAGTTAACACAAATTATAAACAACTACAATTAATGATGAATCGAAATCAATTATAATGCAAAGAAAAACACACTTTTTAAAAACAATCGATTAATGTGTTATCAATTTATCGATGGGCATAAAATGTGTGGACAATTTATTAATCTTTGTTAAAGTTGAGCTCAAACCATTTAAAATAGGAGCTACTTGAGACTGTTATTTAAAATAGATTCGATTATCGATTTGATTAAGTGTTAACGTTTTTTCTCTTCGATTGTTGAATATCGATTCCGATAACATAATTTGATTTGCATATTACAATTATCTAGATGAGCATAGCTTGGAATCGATGGAAATAAATAACATAATAGACAAGCATAATATATCATTACAGATCAGCCTGAAGGTAGCCAATTATTAAACTATCGATATCGATTACGTGCTATCGATATCGATGGTCTAATATAAGGAAAGGGAAACTTAGAATATTATCGTAGAAATAATATAACAAATAGGTGAAGATTATTTTTAATACATTTCGAGTAATAATCTTTATCTGGAGCAGGAAGAACAGATTTGATACATAACAATATTAAATGGATTATTATTTTTGACGATTAAATAATGATCTTCACCTAAATAAGGAAGATTAGTTTAAGTCTATAGCAATATTATACATTATTTAATATCTAGTAGCTGCAATTGTTAATTAGATTAGAGATCGTAGTTTCCTATATTCCAGCAGCAATCAGTTAGAGATGTGACATGTTTTTACCACTCATTAATGGATCAAATATTTGCCAAAGCTTATCAAGATTGTTACTTAGCCAGAATGCAAGCTTTTAACCCAAGTGATCAGACCGTTTGAGCATGGCGCAATTGAACGCTAATGTGACACTTGCTAATGCCACAACTGATCTTTGGCAACACTCGAAATCGATTTCCGGTGCACATGAGCACAGATCCACAGTCAGAGACGAAGACGAAGCTGTAGCTGAAGGCATCTGCAGCAGACAGTGTGACGGCGTTTGCGTTGGTAGCCCAGAGCCCAGAGGGAGTATGGGACCTTGCTCTGAGATCGCGATCCACTCGACACTCAAGTTGCCAGTCATGTGGCAGCATTCTAGTGTTGCACTTCAGGCTCGGCGTTAAGTGCACAAGGCATCGTATTAATTGAATTATAAGCCTAGATTATGCAAAGATTTCCGGCCAGCAGCAGGCGGAGCAGACTGCGATCACTCCGAGCAGCTGGACAGCAATTTGTGTGCATCATCATCATCGTCGTCGTCGTCGTCGTCAGGCGGGTGGTTGGCATGACTTGGCATTTGTGGCCAGGACTGCACTTGTTTGTAATTTCATTTGAACGGGTTCGGGTGAGTAGCAGACGTAGCCATTGCCACAACACGTTACAAAAATATCAACAAATCGTCATCATTAATAATGATCACTTCAGGCCAGGCACACATGCTATCAGTACCTATATCTATATATATATATGTGTATATATATATATATATATTTGGTGGTTCATTTGTCAAATTTCACCGCGCCTCTGAGATCGACAACAAGATCGAGAGCTCAAGATCTGTGGCTCGATGTAGCTGTTGCCGATGTTGTTGCTGTTGTTGTTATTTGAGCAAACATTCAACACTTGAGGCAAGAGATTTTCGTGGCCAGCTACAACAACTCAATTCCCCAATGCCCGCACCGCTCGCTGCCCCTCCCCCTGGGCACAGCCGACTCGATTCTCCCATTTACCAATTCCCCAATTCCCACTTGCCCGGCAATGAAATTATGAATGATGTGATACTTTTGCCATTGAGATGTTTTCACAGTCGCGGGCGCATGACATGCCCCAGCCATATCTTATTTGCTATATCTCTCGACATCGCATTCGGATACGGTTATGTGTGTGGGGCACGGGCAGGGGCAGGGGCAGGGGCATTTGGCATGCGGCATGGGCACTGGAACAGCCACTGGACGGAACGTTGCCTGCCTCGTCGGCTGCTCGACTGCTTGGCTGGTTTATGATCGAATCTTGGCTGTTGTTGCTGCTGCCGTGTTTGTGTTATTTCTGCTGGAAATGAGCGATCGCGTGCAATAATTTGTAGAGCTCGAGCAGAGCTGCCTGCCCAGAATCGTAGCCGGCTTGTCAGTGCTGGAATTGCGCTCGTATCCATGTGCTGCTGCTGCGGCTGCTGCTGCTGCACATGCTGCACATCATTTTTCAAAATCATTCAAACACTTGTTAAATATTTTCTTAACCGATTGATGATGATTGTGACTTTGCATCGAAGCTGTGCTGGATTCTCAACAGACATGCGGACATATCGACATATAGACATTCATCCTGCCACTCGACACACACACACACTCGACACACACACACGCATGCACACAAACTTATTTGTGTTTATCAATAGATTCTTGGCCGTTGAAAAGGCCGCCAATGTCGGGGTTCGAACCCCCGGCATTGACTTATTACGATTTGTTGGCCTTTTCACGTCGCTGAAATTAATTGATATCTGTGGTATGCGCATTGTTATTGCCCCAATGCATTGGCCGTTGACTGTTGCCCGTTGGCTGTTGCTGATGGTGTTGCTGTTGGCTGTTGTTGTTGCTGCACGCCTGCAATCGCCACAATGTCTGCACTTTGTTGATGCGGATGAGCCGCTGACATGCGGCCACTTTTGGCATTGATGATCGATTACAGAACGTGCTGCCTCCTGCTCCTCCAGCTCCACGAAAATGGGGTCAAGTGTGAGGACTGTTGCCCCCATGTTGTTGCTGCTGCTGCTGTTGCTGTTGTTGTTGCCGCCTGCTGTCGATGATTGGTTATGCAAATTCATCTACCCTTTTGCATAAGCGTTGTAATTTCCACACTATTGGGCCCATCAACGCACGAGCACACAGACACAAAGGCCAAAAGCTTTCAACAGCTTTTTTGAAGACCAACCTCAGCGCAGATGTGCGTGCCTTCTTCTTGTTATTTTGGACGCAACTCTTCCATCACAATATCTGTGCCGCTCACCGTTCACTGTTTGGGTCGCCTCTGTGAGTCATGCCGCCTGGCATTTTAATTGATTTTGTCCGAATAATCTTGTGCCATGACTGAAGCAGGGCTCCGCTTGTTGTTTGCTGCTGCTGCGCCATGTGCCAAATGCCGCATAACTCACTGGCACACGTCCTGCTCCTGGCGAGCACGTACCCAGCTCCCTCTCCCAGCTACTCAGTCTGTGGCTCACCTAGGCTGTGCCAGAGATTGGACATTTATCATGCGGCATGGCCGTTGCCTGCCGCGGCTTCTGACTGTGACTCTGCGTAGGCGTTGTCCGTTGACCACCGACTCCGTGTGTGCGTGTGTGTGTGTATGTGTGTGTGTTTAATTGTGCAGCTGTGTGTGTGCGTGCCATCATTGGGCGTTGGAGCACGTAAAAATGTAACACCAACTGCAAAACTGACAACTTACGCACCAGTGCTGTCTATTTAGCCATTTTATAGCCAGATTAACCATTTTTAAAGCTTACTTTTGATTATTTTCTGCTTTTTTAAGCTTTTTCTGCCAGAAATTAATTAAATTAAATAAATTAATTAATTACTTAACGCTGCACAGTAAGTTAGTTACCCATCCTATAGCCAGATTTAGCCAAAAACTTTTTGCTTCATTCACGTAAAATTAAAGTTTAGCCGGAACAAACTTAAATTTACTCAAAATTGCTGTCGAATTTGCCATTGCATAGCAAGACGTAGCTTAAGTCCTATCTGTCCACAATAAGTGTTGGCTTTTTTTCTGCTAGACATTAAAGCTTAAATTATGTGTGAAGAACTAAGGATGTAGAATAATATTTACGCCACCTTTCCTGCTAGCGATGCTTTTATAATTAGCCATTTTATAGCCATATTAAGGTGTATTTCTTTTTAGGCTAGAAATTAAAGCTCTGATTGTAACACCAAAGGAGGATTTAGATTTTAGAAGGCATTACAGCAAACTAACCATCCAAAACTCTGTCTATATTATCTGACCATAATATTTTTTAAATTCTCTCAACGCTATAGTCAGCTAGATTTCCGCCAGGTAGCAGCACTGCCAGATATTGCTGTTGTCCAGGGCGTTGTGGCGCTGTCCTCAGCCCCATTCCTTTGCCCTCAAAGTTTGCTTAACTGTGCGCGCACAGGACACCCAGCTGTGGTCGCACAGGCCAACAAGCCAAGCGGTTGCTGCCACAGCCGGAGCCATTGCAGTTGCTTGTGTTGCAGCAGCAAAGACAAGACAACAACAACAGCAACAACAGCAACAAGAACAACGACTGACGACGACAACTTTGCAGTTCGCCTCAATGTTTGTCCAAGCAACATTCGCATGCAAGTCAGCAAAGTTTGCATTGACACGCAGCAGCAGCAGCAGCAGCAACAGCCACCGCCGCCGCAGCAGTCGAGACGCATTTGCATAAAGCTGAGCAGCCGAGGGAGGAGAGGGAGCGGCTACTGAAGTGTTGTGGAGGCTTCCACCGTTGCTCTGCTGGTGTCATGGTGCCAAAAAAACCAGACAAACGCAAAGTGCACAGCATGGCAAACAGCAGCAGCAGCAGCAGCAGCAGCAGTAGCATCAACAGCAGCAACTTTGCTGGCCGTGATGAAGATGGACGTGTTGCTGGTGGCTTCACATCAACAGCAAAAGCAACAGCAGCAGCAGCAGCAACAACAACCCCATTAGGCCGCACATAAACTGCATGCAACTGGGCAGCGCTCCTGTGGCGTGGTCGATGTT